TTCTTGCACTTCTCTCCCGGGAAATGAGACTTTAGCTTTCCGCTCCTTTTGATTTTTTTTTTTAATTTTATTTTTTCTTGTCCCCATCAGCATTAGTGCTGTCATGTTTGGGTTGCTGATATGCCAGAAGGAATGTTTATTTGACTTTTTTTTTTGGGGGGAAAAGTTTCCGTTGGATTTTATTTACTTTGTAGAGTAAAGACTTTGTAGAGACTCTTATACATGTGTTTTTGCCCTAGAACCCACCTCTGGATGGGGAGCGCGGTACTCACACACCTGCTGGTCAGCAGAGGCTTTTCTGCTTGCTTTTCATCCCAAGAAGGGAGGTGCAGGTTAATGAGAGCCCGTGTTGCCCTTTCTGTCCTTCCGCCGAAATCACCGCCCGGTTCCTCCCGTTTCAGGAACTGCTCCAATTCTGCCGAGTTGGCGACGCTTTGGAGCCGCTCGCGCCTGGCAGAGCACAGGGAGACGCAGTTGTGCCTCGCCTGGTGGCAGGCCCATCCCTTGCTTTTGGGGGGAATTAAGAGGTTTTTGGTGTGGCAGCGGCTCAGGCAGCCCTCCCCAGCCTGCAGAGAGGAGAGGTGGCAGGAGCTGGAGGTAACGCTGCTCTTGGCAGCTCTCTCCTCCCCATCACCTGCACGTGGCTTCTAAGCCACTGCCTAGTAGCGCGTAACAGGCTTGCTCCAACCCCGTTAAAGTTACCTCTGCTGGAATACAAGTGTGTAGAAGAGCAAGAAACTAAAAACAACTGACCTCACTCTTTGATGATCTCCTTAGTAATTGTTTTCCTCAATGCCAACATCTTTTCTTTCTGCAGGAGGGTTTATGCACTTTCTTCCCCTGGCTCGTCCACCCTTATTATCATGCAAATCACATAATAATAAGGCCAGGGCTAACAGGAACTACGGTAGCTGTTAGCCATGTATAAAAACAAATCGCTTGGAAACAGCGTAATTACTGAGAAAATATCAACTTGAGTAATGCAGTAATTGTTTTCTTCCCTCCAGCAGGTTTATTCCAACGCTCCCGGCTTCGTGCTGGTTTCAGAGTCTGTGACTTCACGTTAATAAGAAGAATTTTACATTTCACACTAAGGTTGCTCAGAACTTGGATAGGAGACCATCTGAACCACTGGCGTTAACCAGGGTGTATTTTGAGCAGCTTCTTTGGAGTGCTAAGAAACAGGTCACAGGCAGCACCCGCTGAAATACAAGCGCTCGTGGATGTTCATGTCCCCCAGCCCTAGGCGCTCCGAGCAGGGTCTGGCTTGTGCTCCTGGCCATGGTGACTGTGCTGCGAGGATGCAGCTCCAGCTTGGGGTTCTGGTGCAGGGAGCTCTGTCCTGATGGGATTTCTGTGAGCAGATGCTGAGCGCCATCCAAAGCCGCTGCCAGCCACAGCGTGCCCAGGGCTGCACCTGCTGGTTCTGCTTTTGTAGGAGCTTGCAGCTCCAACATTGATTCGGTTTCCTGGCCTTTCCTCCTGGCAGGAAGTTCTGCAGCCTTTAAGAGCGGTGCCTTATCCTGTGCATGTCCACCATGGCCTTGGTGGGCTCTTCTCTGTGGAGCTGCTGGAGAGAGTCCAGTGCAGGGCTACGAGGATGATCAGGGAACATCTGCCCTGTGAGGAGAAACTGAGGGAGCTGGGCCTGTTCAGCCTGGAGAAGAGAAGGCTGAGAGGAGACCTGATCAGTATATATAAGTACCTCAAGGGAGGCAGTAAGGAGGATGGTGCTGGCCTCTTTTCAGTGATGTCCACTGACAGAGCTAGAGGTGGCTAGAAACCAAAGCATCAAAAGCTCCCCAGGAACTTAAGGAAAAATTTCTTAACAGTGAGGGCGCCAGAGCACTGGAACAGGCTGCCCAGAGAGGCTGTGGAGTCTCCTTCTCTGGAGATCTTCAAACCTGCTTGGACACAGTCCTGTGCCACGTGCTCTAGGTGACCCTGTGTGTGCAGGGGGTTGGACTAGATGACCTCTAGAGGTCCCTTCCAACCTTAAGCATTCTTTGATTCTATGATTCTCCTCCGGGCTTTACATAAACCTACTTTCTTGGTGCTGCTGAGGGCCTTGTTGCGCAGGGATGCGGGGAGCCGCAGCAGGTGCCGTGTCCCAAGGGCTGGAGCCGCCGGGCTCAGCAGTGGCTGCTGCTGCAGGCTGCGCTCCCGGGGCTTCCCGGCGCTCCCCGGGGCTCATCCTGGGGGACTCCTCAGTGCACCCTTCCGCTTGGGGGCTTATCCCAAAAGCCGCCTGTTCAGCTCGTGATCCGCTGCCCCGCGATGCTCCCGGAGCAGACAGGTGTCCGTCCCGGGAGGCCGCTCGTGGCTGGAGCGTGGATGAGACGCGGCCGCTTGCTGAGACTTGACCTGCTTTCAAAGTCCACCGTTTGAGCAGAGCCTGGCCCTTGTAAACAGCTTTTCAAACTGGCTGGGTTTTTGTGATTTATTGAAAGAGTTTCTTTGTGCTTTGTATAAATCCAGGAGCTCTGCTTTCTGAACCTCAAAATGGGCAGGATTTCTTTGCCTTCGATTTTGTTTTTTTCTCCCTCTTTCTGCTTGTCATCTCCTTTATGCAGAGAGATGTTCGTGAAATGACAGTGACCTGTTATTTGAGTTCTAGGGACATTGCCTCCCTCTATTGCCATAATTGTCTCATAATGCGAGATGATGACGGTTTTTATGGGCTGTAATTTGCAGCCATTCCCCTTACTCAGCTTCACTGTTATTTTGCTTCAGGTTCTGCAAAGTGGAAAGGTAGAACTATCTCAGAAGCTGAGTTTCTGAGGGCTTCTGTGCCAAGTAGAAGTTTAAAGATGCCCTGTCTTGCATGTTGGGAGACATGATATCTTTGTTTCCCATCTGCAGTGAGAAGTCTCTCTTTCGCTCCTGCATTTTTGACAGATGACTTTCTTTCCTTTAGAAAAATATATCCTCCCAGAATCCAGAATCTTGCTCTTCCTTAACCCAAGCTAGATTTTGTGGGCACCTGATTTTTGCTACTTGAGGTTGTCCTGCTCCTCTTGGCTTTAAAAATGAAACCCATCTCTGTGAAAACATCAGTGAACTTCATCTTGGTGGTGCAGAGAATGCGAAGTCTTGGCTCTAGACCTCATTGGTCGTTTTTGGTGCCTCCTCACAGGGAAGCATCTGCTTCTTAGGGGTCTGCAGAGGCTTTGTGTCTGTTTTCCCTCCTGGATGGATGTTGGAAACAACCAGGCTGCCACAAAGCGTCTCTGCTCGCTGGCCCTCAGAGGAGGATGAGGAAGGGCACTCGGGTGGCTCCTTTGCTTTCTCTCGCTTGATGGCAGCAGTGGGTAGGGTGCTGGTGCGTCCAGATGTGCTTTGGGCACTGGTTCCTCACTGGCCAGCTTGACATCTCCTCCGTGTCCAGCAGCGTTTAGAGGGTGAGAGGAAGAGGAGAAAGGCTCTGGTGAAGGTTGACGGTGTCCTGGCTCCCGGTGGACACAGACATGGCCACTTAGTTGGGATTTTTGTCTCCTACTGCCTCTTGTCCTGGCTTTGGCGTGAGCAGTGGAGCCCCCGTCACCTGAGGGAGTGGAGCAGAGCTCACGACAGCCCCACGCCGAGGCCTGGGCCGAACCATGGGCACGGCCTGCACTGCGCCAGCTCTCCCTGGGCCTCGTCGTCTCCCGAATATCCCACCTCGTCCTCTCCCTGGCCTCATTCCCTCCCAAAGATCCCACCTAGGGCACTGTGGCAGCCTTGCCGCCCTCCAGCCCAGCACAGGATGGCCTCGCCCTCGTCCCTGGTGCCGCTGAGGTAGCGCCGCTGTGTTACCGTCTC